GATTGTGGTCCAGTGGTTAGCACGTTAGGTTACGACGTCTCTTACCCATGTTCGGTCCTCATCAAAGTAATTTATTTTTTTCATATTTATTGTTAAGACATATAATACTGTTAGGGTTGTTGAACATTTGACGTTCTAAAGCAGCTGTTTTCTCAAAAAAGACGTGATAGTGTCATTAGAAACTGAATTGGAAATGACTTTATTTTAATATAGTCAGTTGTGAACTGAGGTGGGCCGGTCTGAGGCTTTGAAACTCCAGGGCTGAAAAGGAGTCCCACTCCGGCCCTGGACTGTAGTTGTCATCGCCACATCTGAAACCTTCTCATTATTGAATTATTTGATTGAAACTTTAATTTTTTGCAGTGATATATTGTTTGCAGCTAATGGATCATTGACATGCTGTAGCAGAAATGTCTCACAATATGAAGATCTCTCATTTTTAGTATGTATCATGCACAATCACTTTAGTGCAACACAATAAAACTGAATGTGAGGCCCTTGTGAAAAAGAAGCATACTTCATATTTTAAAAAATGTAATGCTATAGTCAGATGCTATAATATTAGTGAAATAAAAGTGTACTGAAAAGGTCAAATCGGTGCTAAAAACACTCTAAAGCGTTTTTTATACACACAAAAAAAAGTCATTTTGCTGCTTGTTCAAAATAATTGTTTTAAGAGTTCACACAAGTTTGGCAGCAAGTTTGGCTTGCTGTCCCGGGAGAGAGCCCTGAGCCCAAAAGGTCCTTGAGCCCGGGGCTCCCTAATATGTTTTACGCAGCGGATGCCCTTCCAGCTGCAACCCAGCACTGGGAAACATCCACACACACTCATTCACACACATACACTATGGACAATTTAGCTTACCTAATTTACCTATAGCGCATGTCTTTGGACTTGTGGGGGAAATCAGAGCACCCGGAGGAAACCACGCCAACACAGGGAGTACATGCAAACTCCACACAGAAACGCCAACTGACTCAGCCGAGGCTCGAACCAGCGACCTTCCCCACCGTGTAGCCTACATTTTTTTTAATAGTCATATTATTTCTGAAAGCAAATATTATTTACTTGTCTACGAAATGTTTAAGAATGTTTAGATATTTGGACTATAAATAAGACAAAAAAAAATCTAAGAAAATAATTTCCTTTCAACTGAAGCAGGAAAGACATGAAAATAACATCGGCGTCAATAAATTAATGGGAAAATTCAATTCTGGAGTGAAGTAATCCTTCAGGTTGACTTCTTTTTCACAAGGGGATGCGTGTTCAACCGTCAAAACTGGTGATTGTTGTAAGTTTCATTAAACCCAGGTGTAAAACACTCAAATGTATCTGTGAAAACAATCTTCGTAAGACTTCTAGTATCGCCTTCTGACCTGCTTGGACCCTCAACTTTTGTATTCAGTCTGTGAAAAAATATCTGTAAATTAGCAGTTTTTTGTGATTCATGTTTTCATTCATTCATTTATTTATGAAATTTTGAATTTTTGAAACTATGAATTATTTTTTAATTGCATTATAAGACTTTGATCCTTTGATCCCAACAACGTTTAACCTTGAAAAGAAAAAGTGACTTTTATGAACATTATTAAAAGTTTAAAGTGTTATACAGTGTCTGGTTTGGTGTTGAATATTACAGTGCAAACCCTTGTAATAAACCGCCAGTAAATTGTCTGTTATTTTACAGACTTATTACTCTATATATATTATTACTTAAACATTATATTATTTTCAAATGACTAAAATGTCAATAAAAGTCACTTTGTTAAATTTTAGAATTGAATTTTAACATTAAAAGTCGACAGAGCAGAGGTCAACATCCCATAATGCAATTCGCAATCGTAAATAAACAGAAAACACTTGTGAATCACAAAATATGAAAACTGTTCAATAACAGATATTCTCTCCAGTGCATAAGAACTGTGACCAACTCACTTTCCAGCGAAATTCATTCAGTATTTGATTTCACTTTCATGACCTGCATAAAAAAAGAGTTTTCTACGGTGGCCAAGAGAGCTCAGCTGCACTGCAAGTTGCGAAAAAAACACATGCAAGCAGAAAAACACTAAAAAATAGAGAAAACATCATCAATTTGACAACAATGAAGACCACAACCCCATGATTCCACACTGAGTAATCAAATGATGCCTTTGTTTGTTGTGAATATGCGCCCTCTAGTGGCCAAAATGACACACTGTGCCTTTAAAGTACTCATGAAATCAAAACTAACCATATTGACTTTATTAGCTCGCATTGCTAGTTTTGTGCTGAACAATTGATCTGTGCATGTCATAAGGAAAAAATGCAGTAGTTTGCTCTGTAGTCTAAAATTAAAATCTGAAAATGCACTTCCTGTTAGTTTTCAGATTAATTCTCAGATTAGATCTGACTGGGGTATTGGGTGTGGCTGACATACTTAACCACGCCTCACCAGTTGTCAGTCTTAGCACCAAACAGAAACGGCGAGGTGGAGGAGCTCTCTGTTAGCTTGTAAAAACTCTTCTAAATCCATTTTCCGGATCTTTCTGAATGAAACGCCTACTACATCCAATCAGCTCTCAGTAGAAAAAGCAAGCCACGCCCACTTTTATTTCCCATTTATTATTAGAGACTATAGAATAGACAAGACGTGTCGCTCGTGTAGTTTTGAATGAGGAAACGTGTAACATTCAAATTGGCGAATGAAGCCCCGCCTACTAGTACAGGAGCCCATCGGTGATCGCAGGACCAGATGTGAAAATCTGCAGATTTTGTGTGATTCAAACGTTTAGAAATTAAACTAAAGAGACAGATGTTGTTTAATTTTATTGGTGATTCATTCATTTTCTTTTCGGCTTAGTCTCTTTTTTAATCAGGGGTCGCCACAGCGGAATGAACCGCCAACTTGTCCAGCATATGTTTTAAGCAGCGGATGCCCTTCCAGCTGCAACCCATCTCTGGGAAACATCCACACACATCCATTCACACACATACGTTACGAACAATTTGGCCTTCCCAATATACCTATAGCACATGTCTTTAGACTTGTGAGGGAAACCAGAGCACCCACGCCAACACAGGGAGAACATTGTGATGGCCCACCATTTAAATAATAACAATAATAAATATATAACAACAATAATGTAGAGCTTTACAAATTTTCTAGCCTCTCTTGTAAATAAAAAAAGTCCATTTAAAAAAATCCATGATATAACAACAATAGTATTTCAATATGGGACAAATTCTGGAACCAGTGAGGGGTGGGCGGGGAGAAGCAGCTCATTTGCATTTAAAGCCACAGGCTACAAAAGCAGCTCCACTCTCAGAAATAAAGGTACATGAGCTGTCACTGGGGTGGTACCTTTTCAAAAGGTACATATTTGTACCTAACGGGTCCATATTGGTACGTCAAAATTATATATTAGTCCTTAAAAATTTTAAGAGGAACACTTTTGTAAATTTTAGGTACTAATATGTACCTTTAAGGCAGGGTTATTCAATTGGCGGCCCGTGGGCCGAACCCGGCCCCCAAAGGCAATTTGTTTTGGCCCTCCATATAGTGTGACCAAGACAAAAAAAATTATTTAGTTCAGTCGAAAAACGGCCGCTATAGCTATGAAGTGTTGTGCGTCTGTTCAATTCAGTATGAGCTGCAGAGGCTGCGCAGAACGTGGGTCACCGTAAGCGAGTGGTGCAGACAGCCGAAAACATTTGGATATGTTTTGTAGAAAATGCCTTTTGTACAATGCACTGTAATCATTAATAGGGATGTAACGATTAGCTGATTTCACTATTACCTGCACTTTAATTCGTAATAGTTAAATAATCGTAGAGGCTTCTCTAAGTCGCATTTCCAGCCTGATCTCACGAGAAAACATAAGTATTTAACGTTTTGCCAGTTTAGTGGCTAATTCGTACGAATTCAGTCGTACGAAATCGTACGATTTTAAAAAGGAGGCATGGCACCTGACCCCACCCCTAACCCCAACCGTCATTGGGGGATAAGCAAATCGTACTAAATTGTACGAATTAGATCATACAAATTCATACGAATTAGCCACTAAATGAAAAAGTTACGAATTGCCGTGAGATTGTGTTGGCGTTTTTGTTGCACGGAAAAGTTATGATAAGTTGCCAACTGTGCGCTAGTTTAAAATTCAAAGTATGTACACCGAGGCTACTACGCACGCACACCGGATTATCTATAGCATCGGCCGTTCCCAAATCACGTCTTTTCTGCTTGCAAGTTTGTTATTTCCAATGTAAGAATGACAATATGTATGCACAAGCGGAGCAATGCGCTTGCCTCTTTCCGGGCGCACGCGGTCGAAAACATCTCACGGTGAGAGTTGCAAACAAAATATATATTAGACGAATTATTATTAAAATGATTATATACGCATGAACCAGGATGATAACAACAGTTAATCTAAATAGCTACTTCCCAAATATAAAGCTTGTTGTTCTAAATTACAGTAGACGTGATAACCGTGAAAGCTTGATTATTTTTCAGACTATATCGACCAACCAAAATCTATATTGTTGCATCACTAATTGTTCTGCTGTTCAAAACATAACATGAATGTGTCTGAATGTAGACGAAGCCTATATTCAGCAATGCACTGCTTTTGTTGTGCTCTGAAATACAACATTTGAATGTTTGTAAACAAAAAAAAGTCCATTGGACAATGCAGTTGTTTTAAAATACAATATATTAACATTTTAATGTGGAAAAGGCCATCGTGAGTGTCTTTATGAGCACAAATACAGCATATTGGCTCTTATATGTAGTTGTGTCATCACTCATATAGCAAGTCATATCTCTCCGGCCCTTTGTTTGGGATGCTTTTCATGAACCGGCCCCCCATGCCAAACTAATTGAATAGCCCTGCCTTAAGGTATTAATATGGACCCTTTAGGTACAAATGCAAACCTTTTGAAAAGGCACCACCCCAGTGACAACTCATGTACTTTTATTTCTGAGAGTAAAGGCTATAATATTTCAGATTCTGGAGGCTATAATAAATAATCTGATGGGTATTTTGAGCTGAAACTTTACAGACACATTCTAAAGAAGGGGCAAAATAGGTGCCCCTTTTAATTTGCAGTGTGTTTTTCTATTTGCAGAATTTGTACAGCATATTTAAGCTCTTTAGGCCACCGTAGTTCCCTGTTTCTTCTAACGCCTCCATGTGCTGCTGTCTTTGGCTTTGTAGAGCCTCAGCGGACGGGGTCCCGTATGTTTTATCTCTCCTTGTGGGACCCCGAGATCAGCCACCGTCATGGACCGTTGTGGTTGAATCTGTCTGAAGGCTGATCCGTAAGGGACAGGCCCAGCCGGAGCTGATGCCGTGCTCTTGGTCGGGGACAGAAAAGTCAACGGTGATTGACTTATACTGTCTTTCTGGCTTTTCGGCGGAGGCTCATAGGCAACCTTTGCCTTCCACTCGGCCGGCGGCTCAGGTAAACGTTTACTCTGAGCAGCGGAGCGCAGGTTGGAGGCGATGGATTGCTGGATGTTCAGAAACGTGAAAGCTTCGTCTACGAGTCCCAGCGGGTGGCGTGAAGCCGCTTCCCAGGGCGAGGGCGGTTTTTGAGATCTTGTGAAAGTTTGTCCTGGGGTGGGACGGATGCTGGGTGAGGGGTGTCTGGGTGATGGAGAAGATGAAACTGACCTGGCATTGAGGCCCACTGATGGAAGTCTGACTGGTGGAGATAAGGATGAGCTTCTGAGTCCCTGAAATGAGCGAAACACATTTATTTTGAGGTTATAAAGTTGAAGTAAAAATGATTTGCCTTCTTTTTCAAAACATCTCCCAAATTATGTGTTGAGACAAGGATGAGCTTCTGAACCCCTGAACTGAGCAACAAGATATACTTTAGCAGAAATATGCACCCGCTTCAAATGTTAGCACTCAATTAAATGGGCGTTATCAATGGTTATCAGGTTATAGGAACAGCACTAGCTCGCCATATACCCTATAGTGAGCAAAACCTGTCAAATTTATTAAGCTAAATGTTTTCTGTGAAGAGTATATTTGGGGTCTATATA